ACTACATAAATCTTTGCTGTGGACAGCTCCAATATTTTCTCCTCCAACTGCGCGCATAAAAATAATACTACTTAAACAAGTTCGAGAATTACCAAAAAGGGTTCGCCTTTTTCAGAGCACTGCTTAAAAATTAAAATAAAACCATGTTGTGTACAAATAAACAAAAATGGGAAGAAGAACAAATAGTTCAAGCAGTACATAACATTAGTTCTTTGTAAGCAGTAATAAAGATGTTATTATACCTTCAGTAATCAAATGTCCATCAGCCGTACGCCGGAAGTTAATTGTTGTACCCTGTAAAATTTTTCCCATGTTAATATATCAATAATGTAAGAAGAGAAAATGGATAAAATGTGGGAACAAATGATTAATACCACGTGCAAGGGAATATCCTGCGAAAAGATGGAACCGAAAGTTTGTAGGCAGCTAAAATCAGCATGAGGATTTGTCTGCAAATAGTGACAATTTGTAAGGAGAAGGCTTATGAAATACTGCCATCAAGAACTGGTGAAAGTCGGAATAAACATACCCTTTCTAATCTGGCTCGAAGAGACTTCTCAAAAGCACTACAAGATAGAAATTAAGAAAAAAATCATAAACATTAACAATCATCAAAATTCACGTGTTTTTATTCATATCCCACATTCTGATAATTTGTGCCATTAATCATAATTGTTTTTCTCAGAATTGTTGGCAGAAGGTGAAGAAAGTGTTGTTCTCGTCAAAGCTTCTTCTTTACTTAAATATTATATCCCATGATTATTAGTTATATTGCTATTTATCAACTTGCTTGATGCATATTTTTCAAATGCTATAAGAGTTTTGTCTTACTCTTTCACAGTATTGATTTTGATACCGTTGCAATTAATCACAAGCCTAATAGTCATGTTGATATCCTCCCTGCAGCACGTGCAACAGAAATAAATTAATAAACAAATAATTTCTTCCAAAATAATGCTAACAAGTTTTTACTAAACGTGCAAAGAATTGACGTGTTTTTTGTAGATTCATATCAGTAAAAGAAATTTAATACTTCCGATCATTACACAGTAAATAGAACAAACCTAAGAAGATCTCGATAAAAATCTTGGCACTTGTTCAATTCATCTTCTGGAATGCAGGCATACTTCGAGCCCAATTTCTCACACACGTCAAATGGGTGAACATCTACAAGAATAAGTGTAAAACTCAAATATTCGGCTAAACATTTTCTGAAGCAAACATAGCAAATTTCAAAGAATCGAGAGTCAACAAAGAACTTACAGAAAGCAAATGCATAGACTTTCAGAGTTTTGATTCTTATAATTGTCATTGTTCTTGAACCAGTTCCCACAAGTACCTGATAGTTAGGCAGTATGACAAAAAAGATCAACGAAATAATCGATAAAAACAAAATCCAAATCAAAATAGAAATGATGTATGTGTAACAAAAAGATCAATGTAATTTTTAACTTTGCTAGTTATCTGTACATAGAACATCTGAACAAGCAAAAGAGATGTCAGGTATTTATACTGCATACATATAAAAGAGATCTAATAAAATGTCAATTTTTATGCTCAGTGGAAAGCACAAGAAAATCGCGCAAGATCAAAACTTTATGCACCAACCTCAGGAGTGAAACTGGAATTACTTTCTCCGGACATGAAGTCCCCCAACATAGTCGGGAACTCGACACCTGTCCTTGGCTCGACTGTCTTGTTATCATCCCAAGCTAAATTCTGAAAATAAAGACCACCCGAAGGTCCACAGATTCGATTTTCAATCTCGCACGGGTTTCGATCCATGCAACTTTGGGCTTCAACAGAACTAGTTTCTGTTGGAATTGCCAAGAAATTTGACGAGCTGGAATACAAAATATACGGCAAAACAAATAAGTGTAAAAAAAAAAATGAAAACCAATGAGAAATGCATGAATAGACATCGAATCTCACATGTTAGTAAATGGCGGCACTAATGCAGCCGCTAATGATAGCACTGGAAAACACTGAAGACGTTCGGCCTCTTTACAAATTTGTTTCAAAGCAAAACTCGATACCTTACCAAACACCACTGGAATACCAGATTTCATTCTATGCTTCGAATTCCAGAAAAATCTGCTTACATCTTGTCTTACAGAGGAAATGTGCTTTACTTGAGTAGAAGAAGCATTTGAGTGAGAACCAAGATTATTCCCAGGCAACTTACGGTTGATATTGCAATTCGAACCACTCCCAAACCGTAAAACTAAAGCGCATGCAAATTTAGACATACAGTTGAAAGCATCCTGAAGAACCAAACTTCCGGGCAAGAAAAGATGTCTTGAATTGTCAACCATTGAAGCAATATGAGTTAGCCAATGGGCACTTTGTGGCAAAAGTGGGTCCATAGAGAAAGAGCCCATAGAGCCTCCATCTGGTTCGATGAAGAAAAACCTATTACTTCCCATATCAGCCCACTACTGATTTTTTTTTATTAAAGTCGAATTCTTGTAATGACTGTTGCTCAGTTGCCCAAGAGAAAACCTGATCAGGTGGTTTAAAGTTAAACAAGAGTTAGAAAAGGTACTAAAAGCCGAGAAAACATGAGTTGCAGTATGAATGCCCAAAGATATCAACAGATGACGAAATAAGGAGCAACTGCCACACAGCTTACACTGAGAAAGCTAACTGAACATATTAATGGATATTCCTTAAAAACTAGAATGAAAAATAATAGGATTCATGCCTAGAAGATTGGATGTAACCGATACCAAATTTGTACCATGAATCATTGAGGTCTCTTGGAATTACAAATGCAAATGTANCAACAAAAATAAAATAAAAATAAGCTAAATGTCAGGAACAAAACAATCAAAATTACATTCAATATCAATTCTAATACATGAAAGGAAGGAAAAAGAAACCGAAAAATACAAGCTTGCAACCCAAAAGTACAATCTTGAAACATGATGCCAAAAATTAATTTAAGCTCTGCCCTTACAAGATTTGATCAGCTAAACCGAAAAATACAATCTTGAAACAGCAGAAAAATCTTGCAACAAAAATAAAATAAAACAAGCCACATTTCAGGAACAAACAACCAAAATTACATTCAATATCAATTCCAGTACATGAAGGGAAAGGAAAGAGTCACCAAAAAATACAATCCTGAGACAGCAGAAAAATCTTGCAACTAAATAAAATGAAATAAAATAATAAGTTGCATGAAAGAAAGGAAGGACAAAAGGGAAAAAAGAGGGTACAAACCTGCGAAAAAGCAAATGTCCAGAAGATCAAGAGCCCTTTGACATAATTTGGAACCCAAAAAAAAGGATAAAGGAAAAACAAAGTTCTAATTTCTAAAGGTACCAAAGGTTGATAAGGGTTTTTTGAGGGAGAGAGAGAGAAAGGAAAATGCTTTGCAGAAAGAAAAACAGCCCAGATTCAATTGTTCTTTTCCATCATTGGAGGTTTTTTTTCTTCTTTTTTTTTTTTCAAAATTATTTCTGGAGAATCGTTGGGAGATTCTCGCACAATGCCTCTATATAATACACGGAAATTAATAAAGATCGAAAAAAAGGGCGCAAAGAAAAATCTTGACCTTCGTTTGCTGCCTACAAAATATAAATATGAAGGAGATGTTTGTTTATAAAATAACTTATTCAAAATTTAACACAATCTTAACACGTCTCATTATACTTAATATAATTAAATAATATTAATTATTTATTACATCAATTTTAATTTACTAACATAATTTTAATTATCTATCTTTTTAATTATTTATTTTTTAAAATTAATTTAATTAATTAATTACATAATTTTAACTCCAACTCTTAATCATTTACACATATTTTTACGTTAAATTAATTTTAATTATTTTATTTTAAATATTATTTTAATATCACTCAAAATTAAAATCAAAGCTTTTAGAAGCACGAAGTATTTCAATCAGCTTTTTTCCTTCATTGTTTACTCATTTTTTTTATTTTTTTGAAATAAAATATTTGCTGGTCGGTCCCGTGTACCGTGTTTTGGATGGGGATGGGGCTTTTCTAAACAGATTAAAATATACGTATATATATATATATATAAATTGTGATATATCAATTATTTAATTTATCATTTTAATATTATCTGGTATAAATATAATTTATAACACTTTATTTACATTTGTCCATATGAACATGATCCAAAATATCTCATTTTGTCTGGTGAGGCAAATTTTACCTTATTGGATGTTAATTGAAAACAAAACATCTCATTTTAACTTTTTTCTTCATTTCCATTAAAACACTTAAAAAATAAAATCATGTCTTATCAAATATTTTCCAACAAAATTTTAACATACATCATAGTCAATCATATTTTGTTATTTTAATTTACATATCACAATAATTTCAACTATTATATTTTATTTTATATGCATTTAAAATCTTAAAATTATTTACTTTTACCAAATTTTTCTTTTTACTTCTTCATCTATATTTTTAGGTGAGTTTATTTTTTATACAAGAAAACATTATTTTTTTTTTTTTTAAAAAAAAATCATTCATCTATATAATAAGTCAAGGCCGTATGCCAAACTCTTTAGTGAGATATATTCATGCTAATTGCGAAGTAGTTGCCAATTGTGCGTGTCAGCAAACGCTTGAACGTATTGTAGAAAAATGAGGAAAAATACAAATACAAATACCTAAAGTACAGGTCAAAATAGTTCATCTTGAATGATGTTTACAGGTTGGGCTTTTCAAGGACAAAGAAAGATGGTCGGTTGTGTAGATCAACCCAAGCAAGGTGGACAATTATTTCTTAATTTCCATCTTTGTAATTCCTTATTCTAAATTCTAAACTAGACTCATATTTTTATATCTATAATGCGTAAACCAAAATATTTATTTTATCTTTTAAGTCAAAATTTATCTGATCAAATGAATTTACAAAAAAAACTCAGTCTATATGATAGAAAATAATCATTATTATGTTCTAATAAAAAAAATTCAATCACTCATGTACTTTTAATCATGAAGTCCTATTTTATTAATTTTATATTAAATTAATTTCATTTTTCCCTTGTATCTATTCATAATCAATTCTATCTGAATTTTCCTAAAAGTACTTCATTTCACATAAATTTTCGACAAATTTTTATATCCTTATCACCGATCATATCAGAGCCTGATTTACATTTGTGACTTTCGTATTTTTGTGTTTTTTTTTTTCTTTCTCATTCTTACAAACAAGAAGCGGGTAAAGATGGCCACAACAAACTACGTTAATGTGTGCACTAGTAACCACCAAACCAACAGCATGATTAAAATTGCACAAGAAATAAGATGCTCAGCCTGTGTTAAAATACACTTGTGAATTGTCCCACATCGTCTATACAGGAAAATAGGCCTAACTTATAAGCCTAATGGACTACTTCTCCTACCACCAATTGGTTTTGAGATGGAACCTCACTTGGACTTCCCTGATTTAGTGCGCTTCGTCCGTGGAACCGCACCCGTCAACTCCCGTTTGTCAGCCTGATAATATAATATACATGCACAAATTCATGCACAAATTCAAAATTGATACCTCAACGAGAAGAGCAAATTTATGATCACATATTTATTTATTTATTTGGTATACTTCATTCTGGTACGACATGTTCTTTCCACGAAATGTATACAATTTATGCATTCCACATCCATATTTTTCGCCTAACTTGAACATATTTTTCCCAATTTCCTATGAGGGCCAATTTATGAAAGCAATAATAAGAAGCACTTGAAAAGAAAAAAACAAAAGAAAAAAGAAATAAACAGTGTCCTTTGCCTGAAAGTTGGATATTAAGGTCCACCAGCATCATGTCTGGTTGATTTATTGTAGCTTTATTTTTCCCAATAACAAAACCAAAAACAAAAAAGCAAATGAAGAAGAACAAAAACAAAAAACAAAACACAATACATTTGAGAAGAATACAAATAATGTACATACAAAATGCTATCCTGAAATGTACAAAGCAGGCTACTAGAAATTTTGGAAACTAATGGTTAGCTGCACATTTTATGCTGCCGAGAAGATTTTGTGATGAGCGTCAATTGATGGTATAGAGTAAATGTGACTCAGAATGAATGTCATTTACAGCCAGGTAAACCTCATTTACAGACGATGAATAATATCATCAGATAATATTAATATAAAAGGAAAAAAGGTAATTGTTTCGTCCTTGTATGGGATTTTTCTTCCTTCTTTCAGTTTACTTTTTTTTTGTCCATTGCAAATGGAGCTGGAAGAGTCATTGTTGACTATTCTCCTGGCATAGTGTTAATAATGGACTAGATCAAAATGACTCAATTAAATTCTAGTGCTTCTTCACTAGTGAAATTATAAAAAAAAAAAAAAAATATCAAACGGCGCAATGCACCTTGGGTCGCTACGGAAACAGCCTCCTTATATAATTACAAGGGTAAGGTCTGCGTACAACTGACCCCCCAGACCCCAACTTATTGGGAATATACTGGGTATGTTGTTGTTGTTGTTGTTGTTTCATTTTACTTTTTCTTGGAGAAGAAAAGGGTTCTAAGTCGAGAAGATCAATAATTAATAATATTCAAGAAATTAAGGCTAATACGGTAGCACCTTAACAAATCAAGCTATGTAACATGTGGATTACCAACCAGCAGCTCAATATCTGTAACTCAGAAGTGTAATCAAAAGTTTAACACGCATTACACCAGACCTGCTTCAAATAGATTTCACCTTCTCAAAGTCTCGTCTACTAGCTTGAAAGTCTTCTTGACAAGTTTCTGGTCTAAGGCACTAGTTCTGTAGATCTTAAATACACGGTCAACACGATCAGGGGCAGTGCTCTGGAAATACAGTTCCTCAAATTTTTTCTTCACAAACCCGGTTACAAAAGCATATTATGACAGATATAGAGCACAAGCACTAACATGCAAGTTAATAACCAAAAGACGACACGAGAACTTACAGCAGAAAAATGCATCATGTTAGTAATCAAAAGGGAACTAATATGAAAACAGATAAATGGAAGGTAGAGTTCCTAATAGCAAGCCTATTTGGCAAATTTTATTCTGAATATGAGGAGACAGAAAACTCTTACTCATATGCATTTTCAGTTTCTTGTTTCCCAGTAGAAACTGGCTGATAATCCTTGAACCAATCACATACGTCCAGGGGGACCTGCATAAAAATTATTAATTGTAAATTGTAATCCAATCTCATAGAAGTGCCTTCCCAAATCCCAGGTAACAAGTGAAAATCTAAGAGGATGCTTGGATACAAAACTTATCCAAAAAATCCAAACATTTTTTAACTCAACTTTAACTCAACTCAACTATCATTAATATTATGAAAAACGTTACATTACCAACTAGTGTACAACTAGGTTGACAACACAAGTGAAAACATCCACTTGTGTATTTTTTTATTTTTACTTTTTTGAATGTTTTCACCTGTGTTGTCAACCTAGTTGTATACTAGATTGGCAATGTAGCATTACTCTAATATTATTAATATAATTAAATAATATCAACCAATCATTCTTACACATCACATCAACCTTATTTCACTATTCATCAACTCACATAATTTTAACTAACCATCACTTCAAATCATCTCTCTCATACTTCTACATCAAATCAACTTTAATTATTTTATTTTAATTATTATTTTAATATATCCACTAACAATTAACCATACCACCTTTTTCAAAATTAACCAAACCAAACAAAAAAAAAAAATCCAAACAAATCCAAAAATTTGTATGTCCAAGCATCCTCTAAAATGTCCTTACTTTCAGAACCTTCTTTTCGAATAAGTCAAATTTGTTGAGAAAGAGCATGAAAGAAGTTTTCTGCATTGAGGAAAAGGCAAAAAATAAACAATGATAAGCTAATGCATAGAAACACGTTATTACAAAACAGAGATTCTAGCATTTTCATAGATGGAACCAGGTTGCTTCAGGACCCACTCAAAGAGTTCCTTAGTCTCCACCATTCGATTCTTGTTATCATCCTCAAAGAGAGTTTGATCGTACCTGAAAAACAGAAATGGTATCATGTACATATTACAATATAAACCGAACATAAACAACGTCAACTCAACTAAGACACACATACTATAATGTGGTGTCCAAGATTAAAGGTGCCAGATGTTGGCAGAATTCCAAGTTTTTCATATAACAAGAAATTGTATTCTGATAAACCATGTTATGATAATCTTGACATGTGTATGTGTGTACACACATATCCTTGTGCAGGAGAGAACACACACATCCTTGTGCAGGAGAGAACACACACACACACACACACACACACACATATATATATATTTGGGCAGAGAGTTTTTAGTCATACTCGCTTATAGCAGCACAGAATATCACAGCTGAAACACCCTCAAATAGATGAATCCATTTTCTTCTTTCATTTTTCTGGCCCCCAACATCAAAGAGCCTATATACCTCTCCACTTTTTTTATTCTCCCCAACTGGGCTGCAGACATCATAAAAATCAGAGATTGCTTCACATAACTGACATTTGAACCACAACCCTCGCACTTTCAACAATGCTTATGCACATACAGGAAATATAGTTAACCATTTTGTGGGACCACAATGGATAAGAAATGACAAACAGAAAATGAGTGATAAAACATGCTGCACACTTAGTTAAACAAGAATAGTGGAGGCTGCAGCATGACTCAAAAAATAACCTACCAAGAAAGTCAGGAATGAAAACTCAGCTGCTTACTTTTTCTTAATTCTCTTGCATGTAGTTCCACCATATCTGATTAACATTTCTAGTTTTCAGCATATGTTTCTATCTTGCAACAAATAAAATGTCTTAAACTGCAAGGTCTGGAAGATGCCTAAATCTAGTTCTCTAACTGATATAATATTAGTCACACTAATATAAAGTCAACAGAATTTGGAAATAGAATGTCAGTGTCAATAGTGGAATTGGGATTGGGTGTATGGAGGGGCATAATTTAATTAGAAATGCAGGTAATATGTTTTGTCCCCTGCCAAGAAATTGAATCAGCAATCACCTGAATTGGATTTCTACAACACCAGTTGTCCGAACCCTGGCATAAAGAATATCTTCCTACACAAAGGGAACATAATATTTAACACTTAAAAGCTAGAACATGAGCGCTGGTGACAAAGGATGAACATAAAAATGGTTAAAATTGGAAAAGGAAAATGCGTAGGTCAGCAACAATGAAATGAATAGTACATAGATAAGACAGCGTCGCTACACTAAATCCAACAGTTTTCCCCTTAGTTTCTACTTTTTCTCCATAGGAAGCTGTCAAACAGATGACTAAATGGAACAATCATGGAATTTGTATCCTTTTTTGTGATAAGAAGAAAGTCATATGAGAAAACTGGATGACAAAAGAAGTGACTGTTTGAGATTAATCCCGCTCAAATAGTTAACAGTGAGTAATTTAAGTTTTAACTGGCAAATGCTGGAGAAAGTGTTCATTGTTGGGGTGCTGCTCTAGACTGGAGATGAAAAATGCCAAAAGCAGACAAGGAAGGGGTTCTGGTCAGCTCTCAATATTTAACTATTTATGTCAACTAGGACTAATCATATTCAGAATCACAATAGAAATGTTTGCATCTCTAAAATAACTCTAAAGTCTCAACAAATTATAAATGAATTCAGCCTGTGCTCGCAAAGTTAAAATGTATTGACCAATTTGACATATAAATTTACCCTATCTGCGAAAAGTACACCATACAACTTGTTCAAATTGTTATATATCTTTCATCAATATGGTTATGCAGGCCACAAGCATTCATAATAATGGTCTATATTATAGTTTGTTCCTCCAGTAACTAATAACATATTCTTTTCTTCACAAGATGACAATTTTTAAATTTAGATGAGAGGAGGAAGAGGATATGGTCAAGCAGCAAATTATGCTTTCACATACCTTAGTAGGAACATAGTCTGCATCAGAAAACCTTTGCAAATTTTCCATAAAATACAGGGTACAATCTGGAACTTGAAGTTCATTTCCATGGGAATATGTTTCCTAGCGGGGCAATCACAACCAAATAGTTGATTGGAAAATCAAATAAGAGTTCAATTAATTGCAGAATTATTTTAGGGTCACTTAGATGGAAGAACAACACACCTGTATAGCATTATCTCTCCAGAGAGTTTCAATCTCATAAGCAAGTTCTTTAGTCAGACGTGGATAATCTAACCCACCACCAATCTCGGAAAATTTTTCCCCAATTTGCTGATGCAGATAAGAAATTAACTATAAGTTTCTGCTCTAGCGAGTTAGAAACAGACCACATTTGTAAGTTGTTAGATCTTCATATATCTGCTGATATACTAAATCAATGACTAGAAAATGGGCGCTAAAGCTATAGGAAAATGATGCATACCTTTATTTCATTAGACAAAATGAACTTGGAGGAATCCTCAGAGCTTTGAGATAGTTCCTTCGATCCATCGTGTAATATCTACAGGAATGATTCATACTAAATAAGATTCTACACGTACGATTTTCAACATGTACAGTAATGTAATCTAAAAATGTTGTGCATTCTGCCAACAAACACACCCTTTCATATATCTCATACTTTTATTGTCTGATAAACATTGGCATGGATGACTGAGATGTAGTTTTTCAGTTCAGCCTCGTCAAATCCACTCTGAAAAAGAAGTTTAATCTGCATAGCATTCAGAAGTAATAAGCGGCTCGTACCCATAAATGAACAAACAACTAGTGATCATGTCCCAAAAAAGAGCAAGACATCTTGCCTGCTTGAAGATGGTGGACTTGCCAGAATCTCCAGCGCCTAAGGCCGCAAGAACACATTCAATCAATACCAAACAAAGAAACAAAACGCACCACCATTCAAGATATGAGGCGGAAACATTAAAAGATACATATATATATAATTACACCAGCAACGGCAATATGTTTGATTGTAATGATATTCATAAAAATGCAGAGCACATAATCAGTTTCATGAACAGATACCAAGTAACAGAAGTTTCTGGATATGCTTCTCAGCCTTTGTTTCTTGCTCAATTCGCCTATCTATTTCCGCAGTCTGCTATCACAAGTCGATTGAATAACGGCCAGCAAAAAATACTGATAGAAACAGAATAATGAACCATATGAATAATAACTTTCGGGAAAAAATGACCTGCTCATTCTCCTCAAGATCAGCTCTGCTATATCGCTGTCTACTGCAGAGTAAGCCCATGTTATCTACCAGCGTGCACAATGTAAACACCATAAGCACTAGCCGTGGATCAATCACGAATCCATTAGACCAATCTTCCGGACAATGCCGAACAATTCCGTAGCCCTATCGCAATCTATCCTCGGCAGCCATTAGAATTCGAGCTACGAGTTTACGGAGGAAGCTCGGGAAGATCACTATGAACTTATCAGCTAATTTTTTGTTTTCTCACAAGCTGAAAACAAGTCCTCAGCTATGGAGGTTCACGAGAAAGTGCGGTTGGGACGATCTGACAGTCAGCTGGAGGAGCTGGAACTGGGGTGCCCTTAACTGATTGTGGTGGTGAGCCGGAGTCTGGATGATCTTGGCGACAGCAGGAACTGCGGCTTGAAGTGACCGCAGCGACGGAGGACGGCGGAGAGTGGCCGTGAGAAGGAAGAGAGATCAGGTGTTCAGGGGGTAGAGAGAAGGTGGTTTTTTTGGGGGGGGTTAGGTTAGATCTATGAGATCCAACGGTTTTGAAATGTTTGTCCAGTCAAATCATAGAAAAAACTTTAATAGATTCTTCTCGGCAAATTTAAAAGATGCTCCGTCCACCGGCGGTACTGCCCTGGCACAAGCGTTGTGGTATCCGCCCGATCTGAAGCGTTGCGCCAACATCAGCAGCAATATGCTCGCGGTGGAGCACGTGCGCAGCTGCGGAACACGTGATTACTCTTTTATCTCAACCGAAGGCGGCTCCTTCAAAGCAGTACAACACAATCCCCCTAACTTCTCTATGCTCAGAGCTGAAGAATACTGTCATGTGTTTAATAGAGGCAATTATTGTATCCTATCGAGTTACAACAAATGGATGTTGTTGAAATGTATCGAGGTAATAGATCTAGCTGGAGTTCCACATGAGCTCCTGTGGAACCCAGCCACCAACGAGATGAGACCTCTTCCTTTCTTTGCTTGGTCGCCACTCTTTCATGATATCAATTTTGAAGTTGAATGGAATTGTCACAGCATAGGGTTTGATCCTGCATCTGATGACTATAAGGTGGTCCGATATGGCCTTTTGGAAGGGCATTGTTGTGGGCAGGTGCGGGTGGAGGCCAAAGCCCACACTGCATTGTTCTCCCTCAAAACTGGTTCTTGGAAGAGAATTCTGTATCCTCATTGTCCATACACGAGACCCATTCCACGCACTTGTGTTCACATAAATGGCATTTCCTATTGGATAGCCGCCACGGTCTCGGAACCGGCCCGTTTAGGTACCGCTATTGTTTCATTCGACTTTACCAATGAGAATTTTCCGGAACTTATCCCAACCCCGGATAGCGATAGACTCGTTCACCCACGTTGTCTTGACATTGCCGAGGTTCATGGGTCGCTTGCCGCTATTGTATCTAAGTACCTGCCTGATGATGAACCTGTTGTAAAGGAACCTTTTGAATTCGAGATTTGGGTATGGAATGACGGATGGTCTTTTGATTCTACTTACACTGTCCCTCTTCTTGATGATTATGTTTGTGTTGAGGCTGTATTGGGCCTCTACAGGAATGATAAAGTTGTGCTTTTGGGGTCCAATTATTCCCTACTGCTTTACGATTGTCATAACCGGGTGTTGAAGGATCTCAGCCTCCGTGACGAAGTAGATTATGTTACGAATATTTATCCTTATGTCCAGAGCATATAGAAGAGTGCTCCTTTTCAGTTGATTCTTATGTTGGAATAGAACAGAGCTGTTGCTGATATAGCGTATGTTATGGTGGCGTATTTCTTTGTTTTCTAGCTTTGCAGTCAGAATTTTATCTGCTGTGTAAGCTCCTTTTGGCTATACCATGTCTTAATTGTGATATCTTTCACTGCATTGGTGGTGGTATCAATCTTTGTTTACTTATTGATTGGCCTTTATTTTATGTTGGATTGCAAGCATAGTGACCACATTGTTTCCGTTGATATACTCTGTTCCCCAATGATATGAAAAGAGTTGTGCTTTACATGAGCGTGCCCCCTCAAAATGGAGTTGTATGAGAATTAGGCCTCACGCCTTTTCTACGCGAGATCGGCTAAAGTCGTTTGCGAATTAGAACTTACGTCGTTTCTTCGTAATGTTGAATTGTTTGCAGATTGGGACTTACGTCGTTTATCCACAAAGTGGAGCTGTACGCGGATTAAGACTTACTTGTTTCTCCGTGAGTTATTTCATTGGGCGTTGTTTCAGTGACTTTATTTTTTGTTGACATGGGTGATGTGTTTTTTGAAAATGATTGTCTTTATCAGGCCATCCTTGCAGTATTGAACCTGATGTATGGGTATACCGATCTTGGTAGGAATCATTATTGTCGGCTATTAGCAAATAAGGGCTCGGTGGTCGAGAATAATATTTTCTCCAGTTAGGCGAGCGGTCGTGAGGTGGGTTAGCCGGATTAGAGTGGCTGCTGGTTAATGTTTAGAGTACTTTGCTTATAAAGTAGACAGAAATAGATGTATGGTTTGCCAACGGGGATGACGATGTAGCGTTTGAACGCTGATCTGATGTATTGCTCAGTAACGATGTATTTCTCCTGATTGGCGATGAATGAGCCATGGGATCATTTTGATTTGATCTTTTAAGATCTGGTAGGGGCATTTTTTTTTCTGATTTTATTTTTTGAGAAAATGTTATTGTTTTTTATTATGTGTTTACAGGGAATTGGACGATGAGCTGCAAGATTCCCCTCTATGATTTCCTGGAGGCGAGGGGTTTAGACGATAAGCTGGCTGAATTTCTGCATCGGCACATGAGCGAGTACCTACGTTGGATTGAGAACGTCAAGTATTTTATTCAGAAGGAAAAAACGAAGTCTTGTAATCTTTAAACCGACCCTTGTGTTTTGTCTTTCTTCGTGGAATGCCACTATTCGTTATCCTTATGCTGCGTGAGACACATTGTAAACCATGGTGGAACTAAGCCAAGGAATGGAATATCACCAAATATTCTTGCTTGGCAATTGTTTAGTAGTAGTATTTATTTTTCTTTGGCGCACACTCCCAGGGACGCAGGGGAGTGGGGGCACGTCGGGTGAGGGTAGAGGGAGCAGGCCATGTATAGCTTTAAGAGGACCAAGGAAAATTAAAAAATAAAAAATAATGGGACTATTAGCAAGTAAATATCTTCAATCCAAGAAAAATGGAAAATATTGAAATTGGGTTGGGATAATTTTGTATTTTCACATGTCAAAATGGCTAAAAAAGATGTTTTTGCCAAAACATGGCTAAAAATTTATCTTTTGTAAATTTATATGGCTATTAAGTGGTATTAACACTTTTTAAAATTCCTTTTATGAAGGTAAGGCGTTACACAAATAAAGAGCTTGATTTAGTAATAAATTGTGTCATTATATTTGATATGGAGGTATCGGATGACACGCCTCATAGAGTCATCAATATTCATTCACAAATAGTGTACTGACACAATAAATACACTTTGAACACGTGTCAATACGTTAAGTGATGGATGACTCCATTAGAAAACCATGTGATGGTTCCATAGAAATTATGGTTGTGTGATGGTGATGGCTCTATAGAATTTATAGTTGTGTGATCACCAGTGTTTTTAAAAGCGCAGCTTAGCGCGCTACGTCGTGCGAAATAGCGCAAATCTCCTGAAAAACGTGCCATAGCGCCTGTAATTTAGCGCAGTTTCAACATAGCGTACGACTTTAATGACGTGGCACGCATTTTTTGGATAGCATACGCGATTTTTGCTATGGCTTAAATTCTGCACGCTATTTGGGACCCTAAACAAATTGAAGGCAAGAAAATTTAAAAAAAAAAAAAGAAAGAAAAACAAAATTGAAGGCGACGAAAATCACAATCAGAAACTCAGAAAGCAGAATTCACGAAACCCTCATTTCACTTCTCTTCATCATCTCCCTCTCGGCCTCTCCACCGCAGCCTCCAAGGATCCACCACATCCCAGCTCCCTTCATCATTTCACTTCTCACATCCTCTGTTTCCTCGACTCTCGTCTCTCGCTCTCGCCTTTCGCCCAGCTCTCGGCACCCCCAAAGTCCCTTCTCCTCGGCTCTTTGTACCCTACATCCCTTGCACGGTTGCACCTCGACTTTCAACTCCAAAGGTATCATTTTGTTTTACATTTGAGATTATTAATAGCTTCAGTGAATGATTTCGTTTTCTCGCTCTCGCCTTTCATTTTGTTTTTTTCTTTTTTTGAAGCTGCTTCACAGAACATGAATTGAAATTGGCCCTCTTCTAGTGAATTATTTCGATTTTTTTTTAAATTAGAGTGAGATAAAAGGATTGATGGAGATTGATGTTTGATTGCATTTTTTTTATGTGTGTTTTTCGATTTTTTTTTTTAAATTAGAGTGAGATATAAAGATTGATGGAGATTGATGTTTGATTGCATTTTTTTTATGTGTATTTGCCTATTTGCTGATTGGATCTGGCTATTTTTTTTAATGATTCAGAGTATATAGAAGACTAGAAGTATAGAACAGATCTATTTAATTTGATGATTCTATTGTAGTTGAATTGTGTCCTGATTCTTGAATATCTGAGTATGGAACATATAAGACATAAATGAATTGTGTCCTGAATTATTTCCATTTGGTAATGGAACATCAGTGAGGTATTTAAAGAAGTATGCAGTTGTTTTTTTATTAGAATGATTGATTAAATGTTTCTAAACTTAAATTATTAGTTTGTTTATTATTAAGGTTAAGAAAATGGATCCAAACATAACTGAATAGATGAAGAGATTACTGTTTTGTTGTGATTACTGTTCTTATTACAGTCAAATAATGAATTGGATGAGGCCAATTATTTTTAGATTTTGAGTTTTTACTTTGAAGATTATGACTTTGGGTTGTTGTATGAACTAATATTTGAATGTTGTTTTTTTAATTTAATGTCTAACTTTATGGTTTAAGACTATTTTAATTATTTATTTACTTGTATGGTTATATATATTATTATTTTTGGCATTTAAAGTGAACTTACGCAATGCGCTACACTATTTACGCTACGCAATATCAGGACCAAAACGCGACGCGATGCGCTATGCGCGTTTTAAAACACTGGTGATCACTCATATTAACTCTAACCCAACACCTAATAAAAGTATTATTAGAGCATGTTTGTTTATAGAAATTTTTTATTTGTTTGGATTTTTTTTATTTGGTTTGATTAATTTTGAAAAATGTGCTAGGGTTAGTTGTTATTGGGTATATTAAAATAAAGAAAATGCTACAAGTACATAAATGTACATATTATGGGGTCCACTTGATTTTTTATTATTGGCAGGACCCACTTAATGTGAGTGTTACGTACACCCTATGTACAGTATTATGTACTTATAGTATTTCTCTTAAAATAATATTTAAAATAAAATAACAAAAATTGATTGGACGTAAAAGAAGGAGAAAGATGATTTAAAGTTAGTTTCTTCATTTTACCGATTAGTTGGACCGGCTAGGAGGGCGAGGAGAGGAGAGTAAAGTGAGACTCGACCTTTGGTCGCGAAGCGAAGCGAAGTAAAAAAAATTAATTGATATTATTTAATTATATTTAAAGAATCAATTCTTAGGGAATAATGATAGTCGAAGGGAGGTAGCGGTTTATAATATTGATGATAGTTAAATTATGTTTAATTTGAGTTAAAAAGAGTGATTGAATATTATCAACCCCCACCCCAGTTCAGTAGGTCACGAAACAGAAACGCTCACGCCGCAACTCCGCTATTGCCGCCGGATGCCCGCTGCAAGACCACGCCATAGCAGCCTCCATCACTATCCCGCCCCTATATCTCGCCCGTTTCCGTCTCTGGCCAGCTTCCGGCGCCGGCCTGCCTCCGTCTCTGTCCCGTCCCGATCTCTCGCCCTCCTCCATCGCCGGCCCGCCTCCATCGCATATTTCAAAGGTATATTACTTGGTTTTTAGCTCGGTTTGGTGAATTCGTTATTCATGGATGAATTTGTTTCATGCCTCAATTGTTTGGTGAATTCTTTTTGCAATTAATAATCATATGAGATTAAAAGAATAAAAAAAAAAAAAAAACTCAAATGTTTAGTATAATTTGAGCTACTGTGATGAGCTCTAAAGTACTTGATCCCCAACTACTAGCTTGGTCCTGCTATCTCCCTGTTAGACTGAAGGTCCAGTGTAAAATTTCTGGTCCAGCAACTCCACAGGACGTCAGCAATCCATAGACCCCCGCCTCATTGCTGGTGAAACTTTCTGATTCTTATATCAATTTTTTTGTAGAATTGTCCACATTAGGGCCAAGAATGGCCATAGGACGACAACCCTGTATCCTGCCTTTCGGACACGGGAACTCCATAAGACGTGTATTGTATGAAAGCACTTGATTGTAGGATCATGTCGGTGATATTATACTTAAATTTCGAGTAGATGAGAGGTGGCGGGCTTGCAAAAGGCAATGTCACGGTGAGCGCCTCAGCCAGAGGCGAGTGGGCTCTATAAATAACTGAGGCGAGTAGGAGTAGTTTTAACATACTAGGGTTAAGGGCATAAACATTCTTTTCCAATTTACACATATTCGCTCAAACAAAACCCTTAATTAGGTTGTGCCTTTTCATCACCTGCTCATGATATGCATTTGAGGATGACAATGACATCAAGAAACAGTTTTGGATGTCAGATTGTTCATATGGTAACGAGCTATGGGTGATAGTTTTATTTGTTTTTATTTTTTCCTTTTAGCTAGCATTAGACAACAATGGAAGTAGAGAGCAAAAGCAATCACAAAAGCGAACATAATAAGATCGGCTGCAATATGAAGCGAAACAACAATGAGAAGAAAACGGAGCTTGCTGGGCAGTCTGCCACTTGTAACGGCCAACAGCACTTGAAGAAAAGGAACCGGAAAGAAGTTGCCATATTTGGGAATTACAGAAATTATTACGGATACAGGGTAATCCCATCTCGTTTCTCTCATCTCATTTCTTTACTTTTCTCAGGTTTATAAACATCACTGTAATTTTTCAATTTTACACGCAAGATGTTTTCCTTGAGCCTCTGCACCGAAAAAATCAGTGAAAATTGTAGAAGCTCAAAGAGCATGCCTTGTGATTAAAATATTTATAGTAGGCTTTGTGACTAGTTTATGATTGCCCAAAAAGGTGTAATATCCAAGTTTGCTGTTAGACTCAATCTGGGGGTTCTTTTTCCATGTCAATGGTTCTCAGGTTGGGCATGACCTGGATGAAGATCCTAGATTGAAGATGATGAAAAGAGAATGGTTTGAGGGAAAGGACTGCCTTGATATTGGCTGCAATAGTGGTTTAATTACTATAGCTGTTGGTAAGAAATTTTAAATAACTGCATTTGTTAGTTTCTTGTTGATTTTAACTCTGTGATCGATTAAGCTTTGTCTTCTGTTGTTCGCTACAGCAAAAAAGTTTGGTTGCCGGAGCATTCTTGGTGTTGACATTGATGGAGGTGAATCTTTTTCTCAAATCTCAAAGCTCTTCTTGTTGAACTTGAAACAAACTTGCCTCTCATTTGTTTAAATCGATTGGGATGTTTTTTAGCATTGTAATAGTGCATTAACCTCATTTTTTAGAATTTTTGTACCATCTGCATTTCGTTTTCTCGTTCCTTGAATCCCTAATGGTTTAGTGTTAAAATTGGATTGTACTGAGTCCGTGACTAACTAATCCTCGGGTTGTGAAGACATCTTCTGTCTAACAAGATCCATGTTAGTTTAATGCCATTGACAATATTTGTTCTTGAACTTGACTAGATTTGTTCATTTTTATCATTCTAATTTAGGATCTTAACCTGCTTTTGAGCCTCGGAAAGGCTTGCTTTCTTTAAGGAAACCAATAGTATAATGTAATAGTCCAAATTGTAGTTGGTAGTAAAGCTAAAGAAATGGGTTGGATGTTGCATAAATCACTTGTACTTTTTAGAAATTTTGCACCATGCGGACAAGCCATTTAATGTTCTTAGGAAAATCGACAATCAGTTGTGATCATGTGAAGGCCGGCGCCCAATTTGAGATGGGCTGGCTAATGGTGGGAGCAAATGTTTAACCACGCAGTTACTTGACCATTTCCAATTGGGGAGGCAACTTGTTTCTTGGATTTGGTGTGCAGCTCTTGAAGAAGTAGCTTGCATGTATGAGAACGTGTATTTTATTAAGTGAACTTACTTTAGGTAATTTGGCCAATACTACATTTCGGACGATATTGTGATGTTTAGCATGAAATTCCTCCCACTTGTCGAAAATAATTGACGTCTGTTTTTTGTGATGTTTATTCATCAAAATTCAGCTCGAGTTGAGGATGCAAACTGGACACTAAGGAAAGTGATTAGGACAAGTACACAAAAGGGGAATTCCAAGCCTGACCGATCAGCAGATGCAGAGTTGGCCAGCAGCTTGGGAAACAACACATCTGAATCACTGACTGATGAAAAACGAGATGACTCGTTGGAAACTGATCTGCTTAAAATAGTCTCTTTTCAGAAAGGCAATTTCGTTCAGAGTTGGCGCCCACCAGAAAACAAATGTTTTCATGCAATCTTTTGGTATTTATGCTGTCCTTTTGATCCTACGCATGTTTGATTGACTTTTTATTTTCTTCTTTTTTTGGAGGTAGTTTCATTTAAAAGACACCAACAAAAATTGTTGTGTTATTGTTTTATACTTTATGTTGCTATTACCAACTTGAGCTTTCAGCAGAGTACCACTAAGCAAAACGAAAGTTGTATTTTCACGAGCCGTTTAATGACTCTGAATCTTTGTTGTGTACATAATCGTGCATGAATGTTGTGATTTACCTGGGTCTATTTTGATTCCGTTGCTGATCAGATTCTTTTTGAGTTGCAGCTTAAGTGTGTCGAAATGGATACATTTGAACTGGGGTGATGAGGGACTGATCACATTATTTTGGAGAGTGTGGAAACTCCTCCTTCCGGTATTTTCAGCATTCTACATTTTCTCCTTTTATTTAAACCATTTTTTTTGTCATCTGGAACTGCTTTTTTATTCCCCCATTTTCGTTTGGAAATGTTAAAGATGATTAACAAATTTGTTGGCAGGGTGGCATTTTCATTTTGGAACCCCAACCCTGGAGCTCGTACTATAACAACCGTCTTGTGTCCGAGGTAAATCACTGCACCTCACGACTTCAAATAGCTATTTAGCAATGAACTGAGAACTATCTGTCAATGAATATCGACTATTTTGTGCATTTTAATTTGCAGACTGCTGCCACTAATTACAAGAACATTCAGTTTTCTCCCGAAGATTTTCAGTACATACTTCTAGATAAGGTAATGCTTTTGGCTATTAAGTTATTTAAAGTTGGATGAATTTTTTTTACTTCACTTTGATTGAGTCTTTTGTGACGGCAGATTGGATTCCGGAGGGTTGAAAACATAACACCTCGCGAATTTGGCAACAAACAGGGGTTCGACAGACCTATTTTGGCTTTCTGGAAATGATGTTGATGTGGTTCATTTGAATATATGGAGGAATTTACAATTGCTATTGCATGGAGCTTTTGTTTTTTTCGGTGCAAGTGTTGGCGAAGTATGGTGTGATTCTCTGTCATGTCCTTATTGTGAGTCATTGTATAAGGAATCTTGCAGAGCAGTTTTGAGGGATTATTAATTATAGTTTTGCCAATTGCTATAAATTTTATTATATATAGGATAGGAAAAGAATTGACTTTCTTCTTACAGAGCAAATGATGTTGGATTTTCTCCAAACAGTATATATAAAGTGTAAAATGGAGATGATCACCATTTTTCATGTTATAAAATTCAAATAGTACAACATTGTGTAATACGCAGGTCTACGCATATATGTAAGAGTCGGATTGAGTGACAATAGAAGATGTATATAAAAAAAAGTATAAATCGACTCTATCACTATCTCAAATCTAGTTAAATGCGGTTTTTTTACCAAAAAAAAATTATAAGTTAACTGAATAAAACAAAACAAAAAAAAAAAAGTTGTGGAAATCAATCAATAGCACGTATTCTCTGAATACGTTTTTCATGTAATTTTCTTTGAAAAACGTATTTTCAGAATACGTGTTTTATTGAAAAACGCATTTTTAAAATACGTTTTTAACGAAAATTTATACAGAAAACGTATTCTGAGAATACTGGTTTTTTATTTTGGTACAATTTTTTTTTTTCTTTTATTTGTGTCCATTTGTTTTTTTGTTTTTCTTTTTTTTTTTATATAAATTACCCATTAAATGCTCCAGCTTTAGCTTCAAATCCAGTTAAATGCTCCAGCTTTGGCCAAACTCATGGTGACATTTCTAAACTATGAATACTTTTGTTTTCTTATGTGGGGTATTTTTGTAATTTTGTAAAATACACAAGTACGTTATTGTGCATTTTCACACGTATTAATGTACTTTTGATCTGCATTCTGTAGCGCGGTGACATTATGTTAAATTCTTGAGTTATTAAATGTTCAGACGGTGGTAATTTTATAATTTTGTAAATATGGTGATATTTTTAATATGCATATCTACACGTAATATTGTGTATTTCACTTAATTGTGCACATATCTAAATCGCATATATAATCAAAAATTAACTTACAATATATTAAAATCTCTAAAAGCATATCTAATTTTCAAAACTAGTTCCTTACCCTCATCTTTACTGCCATCTCCCGATTCCCAGTCTGCCTCCCCTGACCCGATTTCGTCTCCGTCGGCCAGTGAACGGAGATTCCCAACCATCGTTGTCGGTGGAAAAGCATCCCCAACCAATTTTTGCATAACAAAAAATTTGAGTTTTTTGGTGCCGGTCCGTCTACGACAGGAGTGAGAATATGAGAGAGTGAATGAGATGGGGCCCACATGATCACTGTAACCCATATATATATATTATTTCTTTCATTGTGATCCATTCTCATATGATCCTATCTCACAAGGTCAGTGTCAGCTAAACAATAAAAGCTGAAAAATCCACCTCATCAGCTCTAAATTTCCTAGACCACAACACTCTAGGCATCTCAAATGGTGTCTCCCGCCATTTTCAGTGTCCAATTTTCAAATACATAGTATAATATCTCGCAGATAAGGGACTCACCAATCGACCCAATATCCTGTGAGCCCTGCCTTTGATGATCTCGAGGCCACATATGCATGCAGAGACAGGACGATCTGGGTCGTTGGATGAGATTTTAGTTTCATGTCGGGGGTAAAAACCCGCGTAAGAAGGAAGGGTAATTGTAAATAGCATGGACTCATTATGTTATTTGGAGGCCCATCGGAAAATGGAGATGTTTTTAGTGGCATGGGATTATTGATGGGGGTTTAACGTATAGGTCATAATTTGATAGCATGATGTGGCCGTCGTTTCTCATTAGAATGTTTTCAGGCTTCAAGTCTTTGTACACTATCCTGAGCATGTAAAGATGTTCTAGTGCACAAAAAATCAGCAAAAAAAAAAAAAACATTTAGTTTCCCGCCTAAAGCATTTACTATATTGAGTAATATTTTTTGCAAAAATTTAAAAAATCCTGCCTAAATTAGTTGCATGATTTAAATTTGGAATATAATATTTTTGACAATCGACTTGATTTGTCAGGATTAAAATGAAGATTTACAAGTATTACTCGAAGGCTTATAACTCAAAGTCACTTCACACACCAAACTTAGAGCATCTCTAATGCATTCTTTTGAAAGGGTAAAAAGTTATCCACCTAATCTAGATAGAAAGTGTGTGAATAATATATCCTCCAATGCATTAGATTATGGGTCCTTTCATGCTTATGTGTAAAAAATTAAGGTTAACATTGTCAAGCTCACTTACTAATTTCTCACATTCTTTCTAACATGATGACTCATCATTTTGGTAATTATTTGACACAAATTTTGAGCTTTTCATAAACTTGAAAAAATCCGGCCCTTACATTTATCCAATAAAACATTTGAGAATTTATTTGAATACAGTATAATTATTTGATGAGTTACAACTAAAATTTAAAAAATTTATCAATAATAATGTCCTTTTTTTTTTTCCGAAACGATAGAGGTACTATTATTAATCAAAAGTGCACAAATGTGCGAATAAAAGTACAAAGCATGGGAGGACATGTGAGAAGCCTGCCTAGAATCCCGCTAGCAACGCTAGAAAAAACTCGAACTAAACATACCAACTACACGACCACGACCCCAAAGGGGTAAGAACAACAAAAAACAACAACACAAGACCCCCACAGGGTAATTCCCGAGTATCGGACCCCCACAGAGTAATGAAAATGACACTCGGGTGCACAGAGGCCAACGGCCCAAACCTAAAAAACAACGACAACCACAAACACAGAAACGAACACACTAAACCAAACACCAAACCAATCTATTATAAAACAAAGGAATGAAAAACACAGCTAACTACGAGAAGCCCTTCCACAACAAGTCAGCCAGCTCAAACCAGCGGAGAACGGTCGATATCAAAGGATAATCCAAGTCCAGGGACGGTTCCCGAAACTGCCACAAGGCCTATACAAGAAGTCGAGCCCAAACACAAACCACACTCCAATACGACCCGCCTCGTCCGGAGGACAACCAAAAACGCACCCACTCTAGCACCTTCCGAGCACGCCCAACACCACTAGCCGAGCATCGAAGCACCAGATTCCCGTCGTCTAACACCACTAGCCGAAACAGGAAGGTGCGATTCAGGCCCTCAGCTCCGATCAACCATCAGAGCCCCGCCCCACCTCTCGACCCACAAGCCATCCAATATATCTGCAGACCACCTGCTCCCGGACTACACATCCCCGCACGGAGATCCGTCGGAAAAACAGAACCGTCCGAGGGGACCCACCATTCGCTCACCAAATTGGAAATAAGAACAATAGCGGTAAAGACGGCTGACTTACCTTCGATCGAGACCGGCGACCACCAGCTGCAATCCGATCGACGACCAAGGGCTCGCCTCCTCCAATCGCTACTACGCCGACGAACTAGGGCAGGACAGACCGACATCGCAGGCAATCCGCTGCAACACTGGAGGCTGGGGACAGTAGAGGAAGGGTGGCAGACGAGCGCGACAACCGGCCGGCGCCGCGCCGCTGCCGAGGAAGGCGACGCAAATCTGGGTCAACGGTCGAGGGTTTTCTGGATTTGGGGTTTTTTTCGGTCGAGGGCTATTTGAGATTAAGAGAACAAATAAATATAGGTCTTGTTTAGCTATATCGAATAAATTATTGTATTAACTGATTTAACCAAATGATTGTATTGTCTGTTTGTACACTATTGTTTGCTACATAGCGTATTGTCTAGTTATTTTGAAAATTTATGATAATATGTTATTCTAGAATTCTCTCTTCTCAAAATTCGTGTTTGAGAATTGTTAGTTAAAAAAAGCTTTTAATTGAGTGCACTTACATCATTTAGAACTCGTCAAATTGATGGAATCTTTCTTTTTCTTTTTTATCTTTCTCTTTTTTTTTTTTCAAATGGAAAACACTTAAATAAATAGAAATCAGAAAGAGCACAGAGGGGTGTCAACTAACACCAAGAAACTAGATAACTGGACCTACCCTCTTGAAATTCGAGAGGAATCCAAGGGGTACAACTCCAACAAGGAGGCAACCCAAAACCCAAAACGAAATTCCATAAAGGAAAAAAACTCCATAAAGGAGATAAACCAGACAAGTTGGACTGACGAACTAAAAGAAAAAAGAAAAAACACACACCTAATGTACAAATAAACTAGAATCTCCCCTACACCTAACAAACCTAACTCCCGGCTACCCGAGACCGCACACAATCCACTTCTACTAGCATAGAGATCCAACAAAGTCGCTGACCGGAACTTCAATCCCGAAAATTACGACCATTCGTGCAGCTTAGTCGAATCTGATGAAGAGTCTGCTCTCGATTCAAATTTGGGCTCCGAAAAACTATCCACATTGTGGGAGAAGGGGAGACTCCCCTAAGCCGTCGAACACCACGTCGGAGAGCTCGAAAATGGTCCAATCGCACAGTCGAGCTGCATCCGTGAACACTACACAAACAGAACCCGAACCCCGATGCACCGATAACCAGACGGACTCCATGGGGCTAAGGCCTGACACAGACGACCGTCGACTCTTCCGTTAAACGATCTGAATCACATGCAACATTTTGTGTAATTATACATCGATACGACTGATTTAATATCCGATTGTCACACAATATCCCAAATTTAGTCCCATAAGGCAAACTATAAAATAAACTCCAAACTCAAGAAATCAAAAAGGCTATTCATATAATAATTTAAGCATAAGTCTTCCGTCTAAAAATTGAATTTTCACCATCAAAGTTTCTAATTTACATAAAATAATGGTGTATTGTTGTAAAAGAAATTTTGTTTGAGCCTTTTTAACTATTATTTACAATTTTTTTTTTATTTTTAAATTTTTTAGTCTGCAGCCATAAAAGACTAATAATATAATTAATTAAATCACTTATTAAATTTATAATGAATAAATTTATTTAATTGTGCCAACAAATAACTATGAAATTATTTTAAAATTTTATTCAACTACATGTTACCAATAAATAGTTGTAGATAAATCGACTTATAATTAATGAATATTAACCATTGATTAAATAAGAATATTTATTTTTATTTTTTAATTTTGCTATGAATAAAAGTTAATTATATTTCAAGTATAGACGAATTTTCCGCACTCAAAATCATGTTAATTATAGTAATATAATTTGTCCATCTATCAATATCTATATAATAATAATAATCATTTATTTAAATATAGTA